TCCATAAATATTGATTTGTATAATAGTCTAATGAGTATAATATTAATGAATATAAATATAGCATTTCCGGGAAAAAATGTTACATATATGGATATATTTATATATATGTATATAATTATATGTAATTGTATATAAAATATGTGTATTGCAATAAAGCGTACTCATCGAAAAATCTTAAAAATATACCGACTAGATTATTAATTAACTGATTTTGTGATATTCGGTGATATTTCGACATTTAGATGATCGGCGCGCGACCTTTGACATTGTTTTGGTGCGAAAGGGCGGGCGAGTGGCGCGTCACACGAAATTATCGCGCAGTGATCATTTCATTACCGAGAATCGTACAGACAGGTAGCAGCGCGCGTGCCGTTCTTCTTCATATTTCTTTTTGAAACGTAATTGCGACAAATGATAATATGAAACAATACATTACGCGAATACTCACAGATTACTACGCTCACACGATTAATTATTTATTAAAAAATCGAGATAATCATATATCACGGAACACACATTTCATACGGTTTATCCATATGAAATCAAAACGCGATGGAAAAAACAAAATTGATTATTATTTCGCGATAATTATGGACGACAATTATTTTTGTTAAATGTAACATTTTTGTCTCTCTTGAATATAACTTTCGATTATTCTTCGAACGGTATCACGCGAGCCATAAACAAGCTATGTTAATACTCTCAATTTATGCGATTCCTATTTTCACAATTAATATAGTTTGGCAATTAATAATTTAATTAATTTTTCATTTTCCTGCATTTTTCGTGATACGATAAAAAATTGAATGTAACTTTGTAACTGTTTGTCGGTAATAAAAGAAATATTCCTCTTTTTTATTGCTCTCTATAGCCTATTTAATTGAGATTTCATATTCTTTTTGTTACAGAATTATCGTAGTGACATTGCAGACATAACTCCATTGTTGCACATCCGATTGGTGAGTGATAAATTAAAGTTTTTATTGAGGTAACAGATATATGATAATTTTATTAATTATTATATATCTAGATGTATATACGCATCACTTTAACTGATTGTCCATTGAACATTTTATTTTGCTAAACGTAATGCATATATATATATATATATATA